CCCAGGTGAGAATCCAGAAGCCACCCAGTTCACTTCACATGGGAGCCGCCAGCCATTAATTGTGGTTTAATATGCAAATGGTGCAGTTGCAAGCAGATTAGGAAAATGCCTGACAACCAGCACCAGTTGCCCTGATCTGCACCGGCCTGGATCCAGCTTCCCTGCTTGGGCCCTCACCCCAAACCACCCGGGACTCAGCAAGAGCAGAAGTGATGAAGCCTGGAGCTGGCTCTGCCCCACAAACCTCGTGCCTTGTGCCACTGGGCCCCTGACCTTCTTTTTCACACCGGCTGCGGTCTGAGGAAGCCCCCTTCTCCCCCTCTTTCCTAGAACAGCCACATTCCCACCCCACTGGCTCCAAAAGACCTTCCCACCCAGAGATCCTCTGCCAACAGAGCGAAATCACCCCTGGCTGAAGGACCTGGTGCCCGGCAGTAGACACAGCATCTACATCCAGACCCTAATGGCTTCACAAGTAGCCGCAGGGGGGCCACGCCCTTGAGACCCTTGGCCCAGTGGCTCCATGGCTTGACATCTCCTTCTCCAAGGGGAGAACACAGCCTTTGAGAGGTGAGAGGTAAGTGGGCAGAAGTCTGGCCGGCCAGCCTGGAGTGAAGAGAGGAATCTTTGCTCTCATGGAGAAGGCAAGCGTGGCTGCAGGGCTGAGCAGGGATCCCAGGCGTTCAGAGGCTCCACCTGAGGCCAGGCTGAGGGTCCACCCCGCTGCCCTTTCCTGGGCTTCCCCCTGTCCTGCGCCCCTCCCGAGCTCCTCACGGAGTGGGGGGAGAGGGGCCAAGCGGTCCTCTCCGGGCTCTCTCTTCCGATGAGCCAGGGTGCCTTGCACCACACGGGACTCAGGGAGAAATGCACCCGCAGCAAAGAGCAGGGCTGATGGGAGGGCCGCCAGTGTGGCCAGGCCAAGAGGCTGCTGTACCTGCGCAGGCTATTCGCATGACGCTGGACAGAATGCCATCCGTCCACTCGTTGGTGTTGAGGTCGTACTCTCCGTACAGCTCGCCCAGGGACACTGCCTTTGGGTTCAGGGGATACTCCTGGAAGCAGAGGAAGGCAGCGGAGGAGGAGGAGGAGGAGACAGAAGAAAGCCACCGTCAGAAGGAAGCAAGAGCCTCCTGGTTTCCCTGCAGCCAAGGCCAGACCACTGGGCAGGAGGAGGAACCAGATTGCCCCCCACCTTCCCCAAATATCAAGGGAGGCCAACAAGCTTTCCTTGACTCACTGTAAGGGAATAGTCGAACCCACAGATGCTGCTTGCCAAACAGGGAAGAGAAAAGCTTTGGAAGAGGAGAGAGCTGAGGTGTGAGGTAGGAGGTAGGAAGGAGG